TTAGAGCATGTATTAATATATTGCAATAATATTATGATGTTTGTTATGTATATATTAAATATGAAATATTAAGATTCGTATACTCGTTTTGCGCTAATTTTGAGCCCTAAAGATTTCCTCGTTCGCTGAATGACAAGCTGGAACATTACGTTCTTTCAACTGAACTCGAGGAGCAAATCGAATATCGACCGAACTGCGAGCAGCAACGATTAATAGCACAATTACAGCGGTCCATCGCAAAATATAAAGCAGCAAAAGACATATGTTCTACATATTGGTCGATGCTAAATATCTTGAAAAAAGTAAATCTTAGATTGTCGCATTATTAATTTTCAAAGACAATATTTTTATCTCAAAAACATAAGGAATCTAATTCAAAGATCTTTTTTATATAACTGCATCATTTTTACTCTTACGAAATCTTTGTAGGACGCGATATTTTTCGATACCCTAATGAATATTTTGAAAGAGGACCAATCTTCCCAATGCAAAGTGATGTTGAAGGTGACAGTGATGGGTCAACTAGCAGCGGAGAATCTGGACGATATCAGACAAAAATATAAACGAATGTCTCGAGTTGTCTGGCAAAATATGAAAATTAGAGAACAAATGTTAAGTACTGTAAACAGTCAGGTGAAGGATTTGTGGGCTTACGCACAGTCATTAGTGCGTGCTGAGGTGAATAAGATTATTCTTATTACAAATAAAAATTGTATAGAGCTATTGGTCCTTCTTTATGGCAAAAATCGTAGAAAAGATTTTTATGAAGATATTTGTAATAAAATTTTAGCAAAAAATATTCATGTTAATTAACAACTTTATACGACATAATATGTGCTGTTTATACAGCTTCTAGATAAAGTTTTACAAATATCTACTTTATAATGATGATTTGTATGATGAAGAGATTTATTCAAGTATTTTCTTATTTATAATTTATAGAGCGATCACATTTTTATGAAAAAAGATATCGATTTATTTAACAAAACATTAGAAAATCAGTTAGCACATTTGGAAAATATCTGTACTGAAGTGAAAGACGTTTTACTTGTGCGTTCATATCATGACTTGCTATTAAGGTATTCTATTTTAGATCTTCTACATATTTTATAATAATATCTATAGTTGCTATATACAATATTTTCTTCCTGCAATCAGGTTTGAAAATCAATCTGAACACAGAGTAGCTTTGCTAGCACGGTTAGATATCAATATAAAGAATCGCGAGGTTTTATTAAGCAAAAAACATCACGCGTTACAAGTTCTCGAAGGTCTCAAGTATTCCACAAAAGAACAGTAAATAATTGCTACAAACTATGACAAAGCATTGAGTATAATTAATACATTAAAAAAAGAAATAATATAATGATTAATCTTTCTCTCCAGTAGGCAGTTTTTTATCTCATTAACGAATTGATAATTTGAAAACGCGATATTTCTCAGGTATAAGACTAACAATACGCAAGATATATTAGAACAAATTGAAATCGAGAAGAAACGTGAGAAAGATCTTAGGGAACAGATAACAGCTCACGGCGAATTGATTACACATGTCAGAGCGGCCTTACAGAATATGAATACAATGTTGCTTTGCTTCAAACACATGAAAGAAATGGTGAAAAAACCGGTCAAAAACGCGAAGAAAGAATTGATGATAATTAATGGTAAAGAAGATATAGAAGAACGCGACGCGTTAGCAGAAGTCGAACGAATGGACACAGATGGTAAAAAAAGTTATAATTAACTAAATATCAATTCAAACCTTTCTCTATTCCTTAAAATGTTAAGATAGAAATTACGATAGGAATAATAATTAATTAAACCGTGATGTATCGGTTTTACAGTTTTAGCGCTGCTATCGAAGATCAGCCAAAAAATACACACTCTCTTCAATATTAGTAACTTCGAGCTTCAAGGGGAGAAGGAAGATCAAGCTCGGGATCTCTATCACACCTATGTATCGAATTATAATTCCAATTTGATATTCGGGACTGGCGAAGAAGAACCGATTGGTAAATTATCTCTTCTTTTGTCTGTAAACTGTACAGCTTTAATAATTTTTTATCGAAAAAAATTTTTACAAAATATCTCATTATACAAGCCATACGAATTTACAGGACTATTGGTTGAACATGAGATGATCGACGTTGCTATTCCGACGCGAGCAGACATCAAGTATTACAGCAGGCAGATTCTAGAGGCACACCTGAAACCGGAATAGAGTTTATCGCGTCAACTTCCATCACAATAAAATGCAACATTTGAATACAACTTTTATTTATTGTATAATATTCTGCATTATCAATTAGTATAAATCT